AACCCTGCAGCCTGCCGCAACCACAGCTCTCTGGCCGCACGTGCCACACACGCCTTGGCGGCCGCCCCCCTGGCGCCACCGCAGGGCCGCGCCCCCAGCGAGGCCAGCGCGCGCAGTCTGCTGCTGGGGCCGCTGACGGCGCCCTGCATGGAGGCCAGCCCCTACCTGGTTGTCGACGGCGTGGCGGTGCCCAACGCTGGCGCAGCGCCCAGCATCGCGACAGGTGTGCGGCAAATCCATTACGTGCATGTGTCTCTTGACCAGCATGTGTTGTTGTCTGGGGGCAGAAGGGCACCTGCTGGCACAAGCCCAAGCCATGCCCTTGTCAAGGCTGCTTCATTCTTCACAGGACCCATCACCCAACACTCAATTCCGCTTCCACCTCCACCTGCAAAACCCCTGACCCCTACCCATCATCACCATCACCATCAAGCATGAAACCGCGACCTCCGCAACCCGCCGCAGGCGTCGACGTCACCATCCCAGTGGATGTGATGTCAGCGCTCCTGCAGCGCCGCGGCGGCGCCACGCCGGCCGCCCTGCCGCCCCTCGAACCTGACGGCTACACTGTCACGATAGCCTTGGCGGGGTTCTTTTTCCTGTGAGTGGCCCGATAGATTATTGCTGGTTGGCGCTTGGCTGCCAGGACCTGCATGCGGCAGTTGTCGCTGAAGGGTGCCTTGCTTTCCTTGCGGGCGCCCAGGCGGTACTGGACTGTCTGCCCTGGCCGCATCTCATGGACGGGGCTTGGTTGTATCCGGGCCCTCAGAGGCTCCCCTCGCTTCCTTCCCCACCTGAGCAACTTTCTAGCGGGCTCCAGTCGAAATCAACCCTTGTTACATGCTCGATTCAATGCCTCGTGCCAACCCCCCACGCTCACCCAGGCTGCCGGGCGGCTTTGGCGAAGGCCAGCACCGGATTGAGTTTGGCCTGCGGAATCAGTGCTCCGTGGACGGCGAGGTGCTGGAGCAGGGCACCCGCGTCACCGGCAGTGCCACGCAGTGCTACCCCGACCCGGCGGACTGCGAGCAGTCCGCAGTAGTGGCGCGGACTGTCGAGCTCAGCCCACCATATAGGGCGGCGTACGACCTGCAGCTGACACGCCGCAAATGACGCAACCAGGGGGGGGGACCGGGGGTGAAGAATGGCCTCTCGGCGCCCCGGCTAGGTAGGAGGGACCATACATGGCACATGGCTGGCGACAGCTGCTGTTTGGGCATTCAAAATTTGTGTACCTTATCCTTCCTGTCGACTCATTTCTTTCTCTTGTCCATATCGCTGTGTGGTGGACCAAATTACACGGTGAGGGCCCATACCCTTGGCACAGACGTGCCTGTTCGGTTTGCAATCAGCGAGGGCGATTTCCCATGCTCACAGGCATAGACAGTCCGCATCACTTGCAAAGGGTGCAGCCAGCAAACGTTGCTGCTGGTTCCTTTGCATTCACCGCCCACACAGGCGTCAGTGCACTGCAGTGCGGCACTGATTTTGGGACCGCCAGACAGCAGTGGTCACGCCCACGTGTGTTGGGGATGACCACCCGACCCACCAATCATTGGGTGGTGTTGACCGCCCTTTGCATATAACAGGGATGGCTGCTCATGACTGCGCCTGACTTTGCGATGTGAGGGACATGCCCATGTCATGCGACGGCTGAGCCGCCTCACGCAAGGGGGGTGATGGGTGAGAGGCGGCCGTGTAGACGTGGCGCTGTCGCTGAACGTGGGGCGGGGAGTGCTGCAGCGCCGCTGTAACGGGACCCAGGAGTGCGGAGGGCGCAAAACGGCCATCCACGCAACCGGGCGGGTGAAGGCACGGGATGCGGGCGGCTGTCGGGGTTGTCGCAATGAAACAATGCGGCAGCGAATTACGGCAACAGCATGCAGTTGTATATGGCGAAGCAGAGCTCTGCTATGGTGAAGCAGCGGCAAGGAGACTGGGCTGGGTAGCCCGCGACGGCCCTGCGGAGGGAGCGGCGTGTACGGCGCGGGGTCAACCGCCTGGGGCTGGTTCGAGGCGCGGTGTGCTGCCAACAGGTGCTGCAAGCTGGACTTCCGCACATAGTGCATGGCGCGCTGCAAAAAGCACAGGGGGTGGCTCTCATGCGAGGAAATCCCAGCTGCAGCTGGAGGGCCCTCTCACCACGCCTCCACCTCGTGATCTCGTCCAGATATGTGCAGCCACAAACTTGACTTGCAGCTGTGACCATGTGATGGCACCAGCCGCTCCAATGACATCACTGCCCAGATTGAGTTCAGCGCACACCGCGGAACGCTCGTCTGGCCAAGCGACGGTGGGCGAAGCATGGGGCCCAGTGGCTCGCCGGGCGTCGCATCTGCAGGCCTGCCAGTATGGCTGCCTGCTGTAGGCCGCATCTCCGCTACGCAGGCCGCTCCCGCAAGCACCGCCGGGCGCTGATCCACGGGCGCATGCTTCGGCGCTGCGAGCTGCACGCCTCATGAGAGGGCGCCCTCAGCGTGCGGCTGCTTCGCAATGCACCACCGCCCCAAATCACGCGCCGTGTGCCGTCCCCCGCTGAAGGTGCGCCTGCAGCGCCGCCTCGGCGCGGTCCAGCCGCGCCGCGACGCCCCGCAGCCGCGCCTGCAGCGCCCGCGCGCGCCCGGCCGCCGCGCGCAGCTGCTCGACCGCGGCCGCGTCGGCGCGCGGCGCGGAGAGCGCTATGATTCCGTCGAGGGCGTTGAGCAGTGCGCGCAGGCTGGCGGTCAGGCGCTTCTGGCTGGAGTGGAGGCCGTCAAAGGCGGCCTCGGCCTCCCCCTGGTGGCGCGTGAGCGCGTCGCGCACGGCTGCGGGGTTGGGGCGGGCGACGGACGGCAAAGGAGTTATTGATACGACGCAGCACGGTGGCACGGAGCCCTGGCTGGGTTCTGCTCGGCAGATGCTCGCGGCGCGCAAGGCGCAGCGATGCAGCGTGAGCGAGCTCAACTGCGGCGCACCTGACGAAAGCACTTCCACCTCGGGCACTTGATGCTCGCTGCCGCTGGCCGCTCTTTCTGCTACGGAAGATGCTGCTACATGGCTAGCCTCCAAGGCCGCCATCCTTGGCAGTTCTTCAAGCTCTGCGCGCGATCCAGATCAATTCAGGCTGTTCGACTCGATAAGACCTTCAGATTCGACGTCATGCCATTATGATATCTTTTCCAAGCTACAATCAGGAGTTGATGTTGAGCATCTGAGAACAGTGCGCCACCTCGAGCAGGCGTCACCCCATGTGACCACAGTGCAGTGTCTCCACCCCAGCTTCACACTGGGCGAGCACAGTGTCATGCACGTAGTGCAAGCACAGTATCCGGGTGCATGTGAGGGGTGAAAGCGTTGTCGCGCAGGCGCCTGCGACAGCCGCCTGATGGAGTCAACCGAAGCAGCCCCATCAATGCGTTGACCGACCCCGCTTGGGGCAACCATATGACGAGGTGCGCGTCTTCCATACTCGCAATCCAACTGTGGCACAATTCAACAAATACTTTCACGCCCTCTTGAAAACCCATCAGAGGGACGCCACACAATCCGGACATCCTGGGAAGGGGCGTCCCCTCCTGCCTTGCCAAAAGAAATAGTCTGCAAGGCGCGTTCTAGCTTTGCATCATCAGCAGCGATGACAACAGAAGAGCCTGTATACAAGCAGGTTGCGCACAAATGATTTGAGGGGACCTGGATCATGCTGATCCCACACCAAGGGGGCAACTTGAGGTGGGGCTCAGATCCAGGGATCGCAGAGGTGCAGCACGCCGATTCGATGCGTAAGCGCATATCGCTGGATGTGATGCAAGTATCTTATCATAGCCCACACCGGGTGTTGGAGCCATTTTTTCTGGCGATCTTGCTGTGCCTGGTCACGTGCTGCTCCGGCGCGCGGCGGGGTCAAACTTTGGCCGTAGCAGGGGTGGTGAGGTTCAGGGGAAGTATGATCATGGCCCGTACTAGAGCGCTCAGGTCCTTGCCGGCCAAGAAAAAAAATGGATTGTTGGGCCTGCAAGTGGTGCGTGGCACTAACAAGGTGGTCTTGAGGTGGCTGGGGTCCATACATGCAGATGGGCAAATTGCCACAGTGTCATGGATGACTCACATAAGCCGGGTGTCAGCACACCGCAGTGGGCGCATATACATATGTGCAATGTATTCATTGTACGTGATACCTACTGCGCAGAGTTTGAGCTTTCAGCTCTGCGATCTGGTGCAGATTTCCCGTTCTGAGGAGCCTCCCCTTAATCAAATGGACGTATGAGATTCGGACAGGATTTTGATTGTGAGTGAGTGACGGCGCGCAGCCAAGGCAGCACATTGGCTGCCGTTTGGCGCCACGCCGCCGATTGTTTTGCGCCAGGGCTGCCAAAATGAGCAGCGACAGGGAGGGCGCGCCAGGGGAGCTGTCTGGTCTGTTCAAGCTGGAGGTGGAAGAGGATCACAGCACACGCAGGCCGTGGTGGTGTTTCCCGCTCCTCGCCGCCGCGGTGCGCAACGGGTGACGAGCATGCCGGTGATGCAACGCTGGCGGCTGTCGCGTCGCGCTCGTCCTGAGCGCGCTTGGCCGTCCTGGCGGTCGTGCGGCATTCGGCGCAGATGCTCAACAAGTGGCTGCGCATAGTGATTCTCTTGAAAGCTGTGTTTTAGCCTCTACACCTTCCAGGCGACGGCCGCGCCACGCTCTGCGGCCCACCCCTCCAGCTGCCGTCACCTCGCCCCCCCCCCCCGCCCAGGTCCTGTCCGTGTCCAGCGCCGGCGCCGTCTTCAAGAAGCTCCCAGACGTGCCCCCCATCACCCTGGCGGCCTGGCGGCTGCAGCTCACGTCACTCTTCCTGGCCGCCGGCCTCGTGCCGCAGTGGCGCGCGATGCCGGCCGCCGACCGCCGCCGCGCGCTGTCGCGGCCCGACGTCCTGTGGACGGCGCTGAGCGGCGCGTGCCTCGCGGTGCACTTTGGCGCGTGGGTCGCGAGCCTCAAGCTCACGTCGCTGCCGCACGCGCTGCTGCTGGTGTGTATGGTGCCCGTGCTGCTGGTGATATGGGCCCTGCTGCGTCGCCAGCCAATCTCCAAAGGGGAGGTGCTGGGCACCCTACTGGCTCTGGCAGGTGCGCGCGGCGTGCGCGCCTGCACCTGCCATGTGTGTGTGCGCCTTGCCCCCAAATCGAGGCGCCCGCAGAGGCGGTCGACAATGAGCCCCGCTGGCGCTTACAGGAATCGGCACAATGCGCATGCAGCTGCTGTTCACTGCCGGCCAGGAGGCAAAGGGCTGCCCTTTGCCTCCGCCATGGATCGACACAGCAGCCCGCGGCCATGCATCGGTGCAACCCAGGCTCACGCATGCGCACTCCGCGCAGGCGCCTTCGTGCTTGCTGCGGGCGCTGCGACTGGGAGCGAGGGCAACGACGTGACTGTGTGGGGTGACGTGCTGGCTTTTGCTGCGGCAGTGGCTGTCGTCGGATACCTACAGGTGCGAGCGCTGCCTGCTGCATTCCAGAATGTCATGTTTGCTTTGGAAAGGGTGGTTGTGAGGGACGGCGAGGAACCGGCTCTGCCCGCCCTTTGTGGGTCCACCACTGCCCTGGGCCTGGGGCCAAACAGGGCTGTTCAGTCATGATAGTGAGGCGGCTGGGCCCCCCTCGCCCTGCTGCCCCCGCTACCCCAGATTGGCGCCAAACTACGGGAGTACCAGCCGCCCTTTGTGGTGCGCGATGAATTCGCTCCGGCCAACCTCGTGTGGAAGCCTTCATGCTCAGCCGGGCTCCCAATGAACTGGCGGTTTTGTGCCTGCAGCTCGCAAGCACTTTGTCTGCCTGCCGCTCGCCCAAGCGGACCCCGCCCCCACCCTGGCCCGCCCTGCACCGCTCCCAGTACGCCGCGCCCGTGACGGGCCTGGCGGCGCTGCTGCTGTCGCTGGGGGCGCTGCTCGAGTCTAAGGGCAGCTTCATCGGCGCAGACCGGCACGGCGTCATCGGTTGGGTGGCATCGGCTGAGTACGCGCCCTACATCATTTGGCTCGGCACCGTCAGCGGCATCGTGAGCGCAGGGCCGTCGCTCAAAGTCGCACGCCTGCCGCCCCGCGTGCGCTCACAAGCCGACGTTTGCCTGAATTATCAGATGCGGCTCGAGCTGCGTCGCGTTCTGGTGGGGTCCTGGCATTGCACTGAGCTGCACCACTGTGTTCTGCGGCGCGCGGCGCGCCGCCCCGGCGTGCTCTCCCCTGCTGCGCGCGGCCGCCGCGGCGCCCGCCTAACACCCCTGTCCCCCCTCTGCGCCTGTCCCACCCCCCTCCAGGTCGGCCACACGGGGTTTAACACGCTGCTCAAGTATTTCAGCACACTCTTCATCGGCCTCGCCATCCAATTGGAACCCTTGTTCGGCCCCATCATAGGCTGGGCGATCGGTGTCATGTCGGCGCCCTCCGCCTACACCTGGGGCGGCGGCGCCGTCGTGCTGGTCGCGTCCTGCATCGTCCTCGTCGCCTCCTCGCGGCGCCAGGAGGCCGAGGACGCGGGGCGCTGCCGGCGGCAGCGGAGCCTGGCTCCTGCCCGGGGCCCCGGGGGCGGCGGCGGCGGCGGCGTGGCTGGCAGCGAGCGGTCGAATGACTGGGGTGTCGAGCTCGGGGGCGGCGGCAGGGGTGCGCGTCTGGCGGGTGAAGAGAAGGCCGGTGGCGTAGGTGCTGGTGGCCGGGCGGGGGTCCTAGCAGCTGCGATCGACGGCGCGGATGGAGAGACGCTGGGGCTGCTGTCAGGGGAGCCCAGGCGGCCTGGCGACCAGCAGGAGCCCCCCGCATGAGCTTATCAATCTGTTGATGGGCATCTTCTTTCACTTTTCTGGTGGGCAGTGTTGACACAATGACAATCAGGGGCTGTTGTTGCTCTGCGCTGTTGCGGCATGCTGGGTCCCCTGACCCGCACTGCCCCCTTGGTGGTCGCACCCCATTTGGTAAAACCAATAGATAAACGGCGGCCCGTAAGAATGAAAGCAAAGAAGAGCCGCTTTGAATGCAATTGCGATATGACGGGGGGTTGCAGCTCTGGGAACTCCGTTGTGGGTGCACCCAACCACGCTGCTTTCAAAGATATGGCATGGCCCGGATCACCTGGCACACCGTATGCGGCGCGGTGGTTTGACCTTGACTGACACCGAATGCCACAGGTGAGGCGCATCATGCAATGGCGACGCCCAGTCTCTACAACACACGGCTCTAATTTTTGCTCTTCAGAGTATGAGCGGCATGCTGTTTGCCTGGCCATCAAGCATGTCGCCTCGTCATCGTCGTGCGCCGTAAGGCGCGCTTTTCGCTGGGGGTCTCAATATTGCCCTGGAGCTGCCTTGACCTGGACCTATAGCACAACTTGGGCATTTCCAGTGCCCTATCAGCGACCACACGCTCACTTCTGCGCTGCTTCTCTCGGCTCTTCCACTGCCAGGAAGCTGCAATTTTCTTGAAATTTGATGGCTGCGCATGCGTGCGCCCATTAATTGGTGATTTGTTGGTACTGCATAAGTTGTTTAAACTAGCATCCGGCACAAAGTTTTCGCCGTTTAACCTTGACCGGCAGCAGCACGGCCTCCACGGCCTCTCCGACGCGCCGCTCGGCCCCATCAGCGATTATAAAGCATGCAAGCGCTGCCACACAAGACGCGAGCTCGTCGCTGCGCCCGGCTAGGCCCATGGCATCTTCGGCTTCATAGCTACTGCCTCGAGCAAAGCCCGCCTTAGCCCCCAATACGCCCGGAGGACGCATCAATACCCAGCTGGTCTTGACCTCCTGTCAGCTCAAACGGCCCGACGTACTCCGGCAAGCCGCGCGCCCCCGCACCTGTGCTGGCACCCGCCTCCCTGCTGCGCGCCGGCCGCTGCCGCCTCGCCCGCCGCCCCCGTGCGTGCTTGTGTGCGCGCAGTGTGCCACAGGCTCCTTCGTCTACGCCAAGCGTCAGTCAGGTGCGCGGCCTCCTGAACATGGCTTGCATGCATGCGGCGCGTGTGCCCCATGGGGGTTGGGTGGCGACCCCCCCGATGCGAGCTGTGATCGCATGGAGCCCTGTTTTTCTCCTGCATGTATGGCCTTAGCCACTGGATCCGACATGCCTCCAGTACTCTCATTCCTGACCACCGCAGCCGCACCCTCCCTCCCTCCCTCCCCTTTCGCACAGATGTTGCAAGGATGGAACATCTCAGCCGCCCTACTTGAAGCCCCGTCATTAACCGCCGGTCAGTGCGTGCTGCGTGCCACGGGCCATTTCCCGCCAAGGGCTTTCGTCTTCGCTAAGGCTTTCGTCGCCTGAAGGGCTTGCGTCTTCACAAAGGCTTCAGTAGGAAAGGGGCTTCTTCAGCGCCTGAAGCTGGGCTTGCAACAAGGGTCAACATGCCCCTTGTGTCAGCAAAAGGGCCTTTTGGAGGGCTGGGGCAGTTTGCAGCATTTCCTGCGAGCCGCGCCGTTTTTTGGAGGGAGCTTTCGTCGTTTTCGTCGTTGGAGGGAGTCTTCTGTGGGGTGTTGGTCGTCCAGATGTCCGCCGTGGCTGCGCCGCCGTGGCTGCGTCGCGCGAAGAGGCTGCGTCGCGTGGAGGGCTTTTGAAGGCTTGGAGGGAGTCGAGGTCGAGAAAGGGGCCAACCTGGTCAAGAAAGGGGCGATCAAGGTCAGAAGAAAGGGCGATCAAGGCTGAGGAAGGGGCAACAAAGAAGTCGGCGTCTTTTCTGGGGGTCCCGGCTCGCCCGCCGCCGCGCCCGGCGTCGCCCTCGCCCGCTCATCCCATCGGAAGCGCTGCAGGCCTCTGCGTCCGTTCAAGCTTTGGAGTGGGACCAGCCATGATGCGCGACGAAGCAGCGCCGAAGACTCGTGTGTGGTGGCTAAACGAGCTAAGAGGGGAAGCACCGTGGCACCTGCGTTTTGGAAGCTGGGTGTCTGCTTGCTTGGGCAGCGCCATGCCTCGCGCCCCTCCCCCTGTGCCTTTTCTGCCCTTGCGCTTCACGCCAGGTGGATCGTTGGTTTGGTCGGCGCCCACTGGGAACCAGCCTGCAGCATCTCGGTTGTGGCCCGCTGAAAAGAGAAAGACGTTGGTGGGAGAGCTGCATTTCCTGGGAGGGGCAGCCAGTGCTTGCGCTGAGCTGTTTGGGGTGTGCGAAGCTATTTGTTGCCCTCCTGTGCGCGCGCGCGCTGCGCCCGCAGCCTCCCCCAATCCTGTTGCTCCAGGTGTCGCCTGAGCCTGCACGGTCTAATATACATTGTTGGTGCATTTCCCTTTTCCTTTCGGAGCTCCGAGGTTGGAAGAATGTGCATGGGCAACGCCTGCCAGACGGTCGATCCCGGTTGGAGCAGCATGCTTTGGGGCAGCCGTGCGCCTTTGTCCCTCCCCTTGGTCGCCCTCTGCTGTTGCCGCACCAGGTGCTATCTCGTTCGCCCCATTCATCCCTTCTATTTGGATTCAAGAGCTGCTGCGTTTTGGTTTGTGCCGTCATCAAAATACAGTGCGGAGCATTGGCAGGGCGCAAGGGAAACTTTTGCTGAATGGACAGGCAACTGTTTGGGGTCCGCTTTGCTTGTGTCCCCCTTGTGTGGTGGCGTTCTTCCCTCAAATTGCGCGCCCAGGTGGCAAAAGAAAGGCCGAGAAGCTTGTCCTCGCCATGCTTTTCAGGCGATTGGGTGACGGCAGGGTGGCTAGGGAAACATGGCGGTCGGGTTGTGTGGAGCGCCCCGTGCTTTTGCCTTGCCGGTTGCCTTCGCCCCCCTCTTTACGCGCCCAGGATCAAAAGCAGATCGAGCGCAATTCCAAGCCTGAAACACAGTTGGCCGTTTGGTGGGCAAGCCACGGCCTGTCTTGAATCTGATGCATCTGTAGAAGAAGGCAGAGTCTGCTTGGCCGCCTGTCTGCGTGCCTGCCTGCCTTGTGGCTCGCCCTCCCCCCCCCCTCTGGTCGCTGCGGTTGTCATTTGCTGCTGCAGTTAAAAAAAACAAATTGGATGAGACCAGAGCTTTTGTGGAGGCAAGTCGGGCGCCTTTCGCCGCCGCGTTGCCGCTTGCGCTGCCTGGTGCTGCCAGCCCGCTGCAGTCGCTCGCCACCAGTGCCCTCTGTGCCTGCTGCATGCTGCACTTGATGCGAGGGGGGTAGGCGAGCGGCCTTGGCCCTCGCCCTCCCCCCCGCCTGCGCAGGAGGGGGTGTGGGGCGCACATAGTGCCCCCCTCCTGCGCAGGTGAGGCTGGCAGGGTTCAATGCCCCGCTCAGCCTGTTTGGGGAACCAGGGAAGTATGCTGCATTGTCGTCGTCGAGACTGGTCGGCTGTGCAAGATGACGAAAAGAATGCACCATGAAAACCAAAATTGTTGCGGATGGAGTGCAATGACTGCATTGCTCGGCTGTAAAACCTGAAGCAAAAAGGCCAGTGTTACAAGGCCAACAAGCTCATATTGCAGCACAGTCGTGCATACTAGACCCCACCACAATCGCGCAGGAGGTAAGAGGGCTGCTGCAGCTGCCATTCTGCGGCGGTCCCTGCAGTGGTACAACATGGTCGGCGGTCTTTGCAGGGATACAACATGGGCGGCGCCTGCACAAAAACACCATGCGCGGTGCAGAAAAGCGGCCTCGCCCGCCGTCGAGAGCCACTTGGCCCAGTAGACTCAGCCCGGCAACATACCTTGGCCCCGCTGGCACCTCACACGCCGTGCCTAATGCGCGCTCACTGCCACAAAGGCCACTTGATACGAGCACTCAAAACACAACCACGACGATGCAGCTGCCCACCCCCCGTTTGCATACGCCATACACCGTGGTGAAGCAGCACAGTCAATATCACTGCTCAGCTTGTCTGCAAGCCCATCACGGGGTGCCGCGCGCGTTTGCCAGCGCGTGCACGTGCCGGTCGAGCCGCTCCCCAAACGCGGCGCGCGAGAACGCCTCCTGCACGTGCGCGCGCGCCGCGGCGCCCATCTTTGCGGCTCCGCGCGCGTCCAGCAGCGACTCGAGGGCATCGGCCCAGGGCCCCGCGGCCGGCTCGCAGAGGAAGCCGCCGCGGCCGTCGGGCACGCTCTCGACTGGCCCGCCGCTGTTGCAGGCCACAACGGGGCGGCCCGAGGCCATCGCCTCAAGCGGCACGATGCCAAAGTGCTCGTGCTGCGGCGTGTAGAGCACCGCGCGGCAGGCCGCCAGCAGCAGCGCGCGCTGCCTGCAGGGGCGGCGCCAGGGCACAAGGGGAGGCATGCGGCATTTGGAGGATGAGGTGGGGGAGCAGCACTCTGAACAGAGGAAATATGCGATTTGCAACCAGCTGTGGCGGCCCTTCATTGCTTCTGCCGCACCACAGCGCAGCAAACCCCACACGGCCGCCGCTCGCCGCGCGGGCACGTTG